CAAGTTCTCGGCACTACCGCTGGTGGCTCAAGAAAACAGCTGCCTGCCTTGGCTGAACTGCACTCCGCACGGTGGAGCAGACGAGGTGGCAAAGATGGCAGATGAATCACCCATCCTGACCGAGAAGGAGAAGATGCACAACATCATCCATGACCCGACTATCAACGATAACTGGCATGGAGCATGGCTTCGCAGCCTCGATCTCCTGGACACCAAGATCCTTGTGGACAATCCCAGCCTCTGCCACCGACTTGTGAAATGCATCACCTGCGGCAGCTGGCCTAGGGACATGAATGGGCACCTGCAAGTGGCACATAGAACCTGGTGGAACGAGGCTGCCCCCTTGGCGGAGAAGAGTGCAGTGAGCTTTATTTCACACGCCCACCCAACGCGGTGGTGCGTTTGTCAGCCCTTCTTTGGCACCGGTCTTGAAGAAGACCATGTTTGCCCATGCCTGCGGCAGTTCGCCATATTGCATTTGCAGTTGCGGTCCCATCAGATTGAAACAGCCAGAGCATTGACTCTCGCTCGGCTGTTGGACCAGACCTTTAGCTGAGGTTTCGGCCCCACGGGGCACCAGATGGACTAACAGGTCCACGCGATCTTCGACTGAAGAGCGTATGAAAGAAAGATGATGATGATGATGATCTGTTGATGAGGTTTTTGATGTGACGACAGAAGATACTACGGGAGGTTCGGGTCGGGGGGATTTGGGGGGGTTGGTTTCATTCGTGTGATCAGTAAGACATGATGGTGATGAGTTGTTGTTGTGACGACAGAAGATACTACGAGAGGTTCGGGGGGGTTTTGGGGGGGTGAGGGTGGAATCCCCTGCAGTGGAGTGTGATAAGCAGTAATGGACCTGGATCAACTCACAGCGTGACAAGTTCACAAGAGCGTGCGAACGAAGGCGAGTAAAGCGGCTTTTCTATCGCGCAATAGGAACCTTGAGCCAAACAAATGTTATGGCGTTGGACGCATTGCGTAAGAGCATTACATAGCAGGAACCAAGTTGAAGCAACGGCATAAACAGGTGCCCAAAAACAAGAAACAGAACAGACACAAATTTTCTTTGTTGTGAAGCGTGCTGGTCTCAGTGCTATGTACAGGGAAGGCTGCAAGACGAAAACTGTACAATGCTGCCATGCACGAAGGTTCATCTACTGAATTACGACCGTTAGACGAAAAACGTGGAAAAGACAGAAACATCCGCATCAGCTTTTGCCGAGCATCTCGGGGATCGTCCTTCCGGACCCAACGGCCACCGCGGTAGATCGGCCTCGTGACGTGTCAGCCCTATGCCGGTTGATGCGTTGCTGCATTCCGGTCTTGGATCGGGTTTTTGTATTCCGATCAGTGTATTCGGGCTGAACATACCAGTCGGAGTCCGGCAGGAGAAGATCTGAATTGATGAAGTGCTTGAACCGTTCAGTTTCCTTGAGAACATTTGAGAACGGTCCCTTGGGACTTCCAACTTCCGGACTTCATGAAAACTAAACTCTTTGCATCTCGGTGCGGCCTTCATATGATTCCCGGTATCCGAGAAGATTCGGATGTTTGTGTGGGGACCTGGTGTTGATCTCATATTCGAAGATGCTATAGGAGCATCCTGCCAGGATCTGCCAGGTCTTTCTTGATTGATATGAATTTTTGTTCAGGCCCAAAAACAAGAAAACAGGGGGGGCTGGTTTCGTTCATGTGACCAGTGTCCAGTAGAACACGATGGTGATGAGTTGTTGGTGTGACGACAGAAGATACTACGGGAGGTTCGGGGGGGCTGGTTTCGTTCGTGTGATCAGTAGAACACGATGGTGATGAGTTGTTGATGTGACGACAGAAGATGTACCAAAGTCGCTCTCTTCGAAAGCTTTCCTCATTGAGCGAAGGATTCAGTCTTGGCAGTGGCGCTTCATGCGCACAGGTTCGAAGGACCTGATGTCACTGTTCGGCAAACAACTGTCCGCAGGACATGTGAAAACGGCAGCGAACAAACGCGTGAACTTTGCGTTGCATTTCCTATGGGACTTCTCAAAAAGCACTTGCGAAGCGACACCCTGAAGTTTGGAAAAACAAATAGAAATCACTGCAAAGCACAGGGTCCCGTAGGGCACCCAGTCAGGCTCCGTGCATAGATGACAAATATTGACATAAATCTGACAAATGATGACATAAAACATGTGGGTTTTTACCGGGATTTTGTCGTTTGGGTGGTTTCCTCATGTTTTCCAAATGCACACAACTACACGTTCTGTTTCCGACCTGGAGGGATCTTTTTGCATCACAAAGTTGCCATGATGCCACTCAAGTGGACATAGAGCACCGGAACTCATCGTGACCAACGGACTCAAGAAAAAGGCCATGTGCCGGGGTGCCCTTTTCAGCCGCACCAGCACAGGAGCGCTATCTTCTCGGATCTGGCCTGCTCCCCCCCAGCAGTTGCAAAACAAATATGTTGAAAGACTATGTTTGCGCTGCTGTGAAGACAATCTACCCTTGCAAGCTGCAGGAAGGCAACAACTTCCAGTTACGGACACCACGACCTAGCTGACGAACACCAATTACAACGTCATTTCGTTCTTGTTCTTCTCAGTGTTTACAAGGGCTGGCTTTCGTCCCCTCCCCTCTCAGGTGTGTATTAGGTCGATGGAAGGTTGTCCTGCTTTGCTTTGTGCAGCATTGACGAAGAGGTGTGACACATGATTGGTGGAACTCGCACAGCTCGCGTCGCGCAGGTGGTGCTGGAGTTGCTGGGCGGTGGTGGCTGGCGGCTTCTCACCCCCAAAGAGTATGAGGTCGCGGCCTCAGTTGCAGAGAAGACCGAAGCATCCTTGGCTCAGTAAGGCCAGCGTGACCCTGAGATAGCCGGCTAGCTTTGGGGACCCAAAAATGTGGCTTGAACTTCCGTGACTGATGTATGGAAGAAGTTGACAAGCTTGGAGCAGGGATTTTTCAGACTTTCATTTGCAGACATTTATAGCTGCTCTATGTCCATCAGAGATGTGCCACACTGACACTTGCGTGTGCGCACATACACAGTCCATGTCCATTCCCAAGACCACAAGATGCCCAGTCTTTAGTGCAAAGGTCACCCTATACCTCCACCCAGTATGTCTGAAGCCATGTCGGTCCGCTCCTCAGACATTCGCAGCCCCGCTGATAGGAAGTGCAAGAGGCTGCATGCCCTCCAGGTTTAAGATAGGTTGAGGAAACATGAGCAGTGAGAAAAGCACTTGCAAATTGTTTTATGACTGAAGGGAAATGTGGAAGTTTTGCGCTGAGCTAGGCATGCAACAGGCAGGTGCAGGAGCTTTTGCCCTAGCCATATGGGGTTGCTTGTGCATCCAGCCCAATGTTTCCGACTCTGCAGCTATTTGTGCCCTGGCGATGCCACGCATGGCTTCGCTTGTCGCAGTGCCCCTTATGTGGCAAAGGCGGCGTGTTGGGATTTGGGTTCTAGTGACTTGGTGCGAAACCAGCATGAGGGAGAGCTCATTCTTGATGAGTCATTTGCACATTCTATCTAGAGGTTTGGTGTTTTAGTTGCACATCATTTGGCCATCGATGCTTTGGATGCCTTGTGTTCTAAGGTGCTGTGGGCATTCTTTGCAACGCCAACCTGCTGGTCAAGCTTTCTGCCCGAAGTTCGGGAACCAATGGCTTCCAAGGGCGTGGCAGTATTCATTGGGGCTTCTTGGCGGTAATGTGGTGTAATAACAAGGGCAGGAACACTGTCACCATGGTCCTTTCATGTCCTTTCTTTTTTCAAGGTGAGGCTGACAGGCTGGCAGGCTGGCAGGGCAATTCTTTGCTTTGTGATTTCTTAGCTGTTGGCCCAAGACACTTTGCCGCAAAGATCGGGAACTCCTTCACAAAATGGGTGATGCCTCCTCAAAGGAAGTCCTTTGCTCGAAGGAAGGAGGTGAGTGCCAATGGAATGGAGCTGGCCGACCAGGGAGCGGCACTCCCAGTGTCACTAGTGCTGCCAGTCGCCTGGCTGGTGACGCGCTGGCGATTCTTGCTCGGGGGTCTGCTGGAGGTACTCCCGGGGCCTTGGCTGGGGCCGCCTGGGCAGGATTGAGCGTCGACATTCGTGCAAACAGTTGTGGCCAAGTGGACCACAGGGTCGGGGACGGGGCTGACACGGTGGGGCCGAGTCTTGGACAAGCAGAACGTGGGCCACCAGTATTTACAGCTGTTCCCTGAAAGGAGGGAGAGGGATGGAAGCTCAATTAAAGCTCCATCGTAGCCAGGGTGTCAGGGTAATGACGCGTGGGCAACTTTGAATGCCATGTCTGCCCTGAAGCCTGGCGCTTTCTGCTGTGTGCACTTGGCACAGGGCATTGCACAGTAGGCTCATTGAACCTCACTTCCAGGTTCTTCCGAAGTTCGTGAGCCTTTGTTTAGGAATTAAATTCTAGATTGCACCCGTCGACTTCTGGGACACAGATCGACATCTCGCACACAGACGAGACATGCCGGTGGAGAGAGCGTAAAAATGTTTGTGGGTGCACGAGCTTAGGAGGCTGTAGCTTGGCCTTTTTGGAAAAAGCTGAATTGGATCACGCCAAGAACCTTGGACATTTGCGACTTGCTGTGACTGTGTTAGAGAGATAATATTGGTTTGTATTTGTTTTAACGAGCCAAGTTTAGGAAGCATACCCTCTGAAAATGCTACCAATTACTTCAGTCTTCGCACCGCACGAAGCATACCCCGAAGCATACCTCATAGTCAAACATCCCGGCCCGGGAACGGCAAACACATTCCCATATATATATATATATGTATATAGATTCATTGATGTAAGGGTATCGGACCGAAACTTGGTCCCAAAGCCCTCTTTCAGCTTGCTGTCCGATTACATTAATTACATGGTCTCTCTTTGTGATTGCTCAGGTTGGAATTGTGCTTCTGTGGGAAGCCTTCTGCACAGTCTTCTCAAATGATCGCCCTACGATTCTGGCAGAACTTCGGAACTTCTTTCTGTGTCGTCAGCGAAAACTCACACAGGCAGAGAAGCGAGGAGCTGTTGCATCAATCCTCTATCACAAGATGGACGAGTTCACCATGCTTCGTCCCGCGACACACTTTTGGTGCCCTCGCACTTTCTCCCGTGAATTTGACGATTCTGAGAGTGCCACTCTGTGGGACGTGGAGGAATCTTCTGCGGGGCCAATGGGTTTTGTGCCCAAGTTAGATGGTTCAGTGATATTCTTTGCACACCATACACTTACAGTCCATCCTGGTATGAACGTGGCTGAGATCGTCCTCATCCGTGTGGGCAACCTTTCCAGTGAAGCAAGCGCTGACTTGGCGACAGTGGATGGAACGGCCTATGCTGGTCACAGCTACGCTTCAGCGAAGCAAACGGTGGTTTTTGCGCCCAATGTGGCGACAGCGACTTTCCAAGTGGAGCTGCTGCCGGTTCGAGGTTCAGGCATTTCTCATCGCTTCTTTGTGGCCCACGTGGAGGCAAGATGGGTGGCTTTCGATGTGAGAATCTTATGCCAAAGCACGGGTGTAGATGCCAAGCCATGCCTTATTAAACACGCAGATTGGTAGGTGGTGTTCTCATGCAACCTGTGCTGGATGATAATGGGTGTAGGGTGCAGTGCCATGTGTAAATGCCCAAGGCGATTCACGGGAAGGCCACCATGGGCAGCTCTTCTTTCGTGCGAATCCGGCTGCTGCCAGAGGGGCTTTGGCCGCCGGGAGTGCGGCAAGAAGACGTGCGTGTGGAAGACGCCCTCAAGAAGGACGCTTGGAGTGGCGGATGTCCAGTAGGTGCTGTAGCTGGCCGCTTGAGGGGGATTCGTCTTGAGGGGGATTCATTGATGAAACGGTTTGGACGAACAGTAAGACAGTAAGATAACCAGCCCCCCACTCCCTACAAGTCGACAGCGTCTCAAAGTCTTAAAGGTTGCCTATTTTAGGAAAATCCATGTCACGCCGAGTGGAGCAGGGCCCACGCCGCCGCCGCCGCTTGGAGCGACTGCGATTAGTGTGGCGCTTCGGCATGCTGCTGTTGGCACGCCGCGGAGCAAAGCTTTGGTACGTTCTGGCTTCCATCGTGTGGCTGGACTTCCACCGTGTGGTGTTGAACAGCCTCCTGTTGAACTATGCCTTGTTCGACTTTTGCCTGACTGAGGGCAAGGTGGGGGGTTGAAATGCTTGTGTTTTTTTTTCCGCCTACTGTAATTTCTTGGGGATGGCTGGCCCGTGGAAGCCATGAAGCACGATGTCCATGCAGTGTTGTTGCCATGCAACCATCCGAACTTGACTTCACGGAATCAACATCTCCTATTGTGGTCAGTGGTTGATGAAGTTGGTCAAGTGATGGAGTTGGTTGTTGTGATGAACCGTCTCACCCCAGAAAAGTGTGGGTGTTGGCATCACTATCTATATATATATATATTATATAGTTATGTAATATTTATGTGTGTGTGGTGAATCTGAAGCTGTGGAACCATAGCATGTTACCAATTGCTCATGTAGGCCCAAAGGAAAAAGGAGCGGTCGCGAGCGTATTGGGCTAAAAAGCCACACGTGCATGGTAGCGTGCCGTGGCACTGCAGCCCAGACAGGTTTGGCTGCAGTGACCAGCCGGATCCACTTAGAGGGACGTTCGTTCGCAGGAGGAGCAGCTTCAGTGTTGGTCTTGACTCTTGCAGTTGTGGTGAATTTGATCGGAGTGGGTCGTACATTGTTGAACAGCTGGCGCAAAATTGGATCTTGTGCATTTACATTGTTTTCAGGTGCATTGGACGTGTCGTTGATCGGTTGTTTGGTAAGATCGGTGTTGCATTGTGGACGTTGTTGCTGGTGATTCCCACATGGCACAGCCAGATGGAGGGATGAATGCACAACAGTTGATGCAAGCAATTCGGAATTTGCAGCAAGGGCAGGCTAGGTTGCAGGAACAGTTGCAGCAGAGCTTGAATGATAATCGGCAGATGCGTGATGCAAATACAGCATTGACACAGAGGTTGCAACAGGCTGAAATTGAGTTTCGTTCAGTTGCGGCCGTGAATGAGGCCTTGAGACAGGAGAGAGCAGAGAGCATGGATGTTCTTCGAATGATTCCAGAAGCCCTCAAATCCATCGGGGGATAGCAAAGGTTTTGGAAAGCCGCAAACTCTTGGAGACGAACAGGCAGAGCAACGTTTTAGGTTGTGGAGCATCAAACTTGAAGACTATGTTGGTGGAGTGTTTGGACCCTTTGATCTAGTCGACAACACGTCGAGCAACAGTGGGCTTGAAGCTTGGAGGTTGCTGCGCCGGAAGTATGATCCGGCCACAGGTGGGAGGAAACGCGTGATGCTGAACGCTCTCACCACTCCGGATAGAACAACCTATGAGACTTTGGCCGGTGGGAGCGATGACGAGCCCTGCGAGCTCGATACAACAGGAAAAAGGATCAGTTTGGGAAGCGTGAGGAGCTTCCTGAGAGTTTGGCGATGAACGCCTTGGAGAAGTTGGTTCCCAAGGAGTTGGAACAGCATCTTCAATTGAGCTATGCTCGCTTCAAAACCTATGACCAGAGTGTTTGTTGGGGCCAAGACAGGTGCCAAGATGACCATCAGCAAGCAGTTCCCATGGGTGTTGGGGCATTAGTTGATGCGGTGAAGGGCATCAAGGACATTGGGGCTTTGATCAAAGACTCCAAGGGTGGAAAAAGCAAAGCTGGTGGCAAGGGCAAGAATGACACCAGCAAGGCTTGTTACTTATGTGGCAAGACCAATCATCTGGCTAAGGATTGTTGGAGCAAGTCGAAGAGCAAAGGGAAAGGCACAGACAATCAGTCGAAAGGTAAGGGCAAAGGCTCATCATCCAGGAGCACCTCGCGGTCGTCGTGGTTCCAAGGTCGTTGCAACGACAGTCTTGGCAAAGAAGGTCACAAGGGGAAGGACTGTTGGAGCAAGGCCGGAGGAAAAGGCAAGGGCGGTGGAAAAGGTTCTGATTCTCGTCGAGTCAGTTCTCTGAACCATGAGCCGGAGAAGGAAGCCGAAGCAGGTGGACTGGATTTGTGCCATTTGAGTTCGGACTTGTGTGATGGTTGGCTTCGCTTGAATTATGATACAGGTGCAGCCGTGACCGCATTGCCCAAGCTGTGCAAAGCAGAGAGCATTGAGTCGAGCGGGGACAGGCCTTTCGAGACAGCATTGAGGGAAAGGCTTGATGACATGGGCAAAGGAACAATCACAGGTGTTGATGAGGGTGGCCGCAAGAGACGGGACACTGGCTTTGATACGTGGCTTGGTCCTGGAGGTGGCATGTTGATCGAGCATTCAAGCCGGTTGTACAAAGAGTTGTGCAAAACCTACAATCGTTTTGGAAGATCAGGTGAAATTCCTCTGTATGAAGAGCGTGGTGTGTACAACTTTGAAAGTTGGTGACAACTGTCAGCAGGCCAGAAGTGAGTTGAGCAGTCGAGCACTTGGTTCGGTCGAGGGCCAGGTGAAACGTGTCATGGGCGGACTTGCAGGAAGCGGAAGGGGAAGAGCTTCGAGAACCTGCATTGACGCTTCTGGAGGAGGTAGCAGAAGCAAGTTCCGGAGGCTCCGTTTTTGGAGCGGTAGAAGAACCTGTTGAGGTGAGACGAACATTGATGAACATGAATCACCGTGGTGCCCTCAGTGCATCGATGGTTGGGGGCTTGGTCAGAGACACACGAGGCAGGATCATTCAGAAGAGTCAGTTCCAGTTGTGAGCCATGATTTCTTTTGCATGTCGCAGGAGGAGGATGACAACAGACCTTTTCTTGCAATGATTGATCGCAAAACAATTTGCAACAGCTTTGGACAATAAGAAGGCTTGGAACGAAGCTAGCTTGCAACAGATGAGGAAGTTCTATGAGCTGCTTGGATACAAGAAGTTTATTTCCAAGAGCGATGGTGAGCCGGCAATGCGTGCATTGAAGCGTGAGGCAGCTGCAGGTTGTGGAGACCTCACGATCATCCCACAGGAGTCCCTGCCAGGTGATCGCAAAGCCAATGGTGAAGTTGAGAATTGTATCAATGACTCGAAACGTCGTATGAGGGCCAACAAGAGCGGCCTTGAGAAGCGGTTGGGAACAAGTCTTCCAGAGGATCATGTGGCTTGGTCGTGGCTTCCCAGATATTGAAGTGACATGATCAACAGATACAAAGTCGGAACAGATGGTCAAACCCCTGAGGAGCGTCGGACAGGCAGCAAGTGGAAGAAACCCGTGCCATTATTTGGTGAACGCATCATGTACAAGGCAGCCGGTTCAGTTGGCAAGAGAAGTGATGCAACGGCAAGGATGCAGTCTGGACATTTTGTTGGATTGCGCAACAGGTTGGGAGTTCGGGTTGGCAGTTCGGCGAGTTGACAGGCGCCCCATGGAAGATTCATGCAGTGGACGACAGGAAGTTGGAGAGGAGCCCAATGACGCCAATGACTCCCTCGATGCTTCTGGGGGTGTGACACCGGGCAGTGCAGCAAAAGCAAAGCCAGTCAAACGGGCTTTCATTGAGAAGTATGGTGTGGCCCCGGTTGTGATGGTTGCTACAGTGTCAAGAAGGGCAAGATGATTCAGCAGAGTCAGCAGAATGCAGAGAGTTCATCGGCCTCGAGGCCACATGGGCCTCCTGCTGCCGAAGTGAGGCCGGATTCTCCAAAGCGACCAGCAGAAGTTGACATTGAGACGTAGGTTGAACAGACAATGGGAGAGGAATCAGCGACCGCATCAGCGCCGGCAGAGCGCCAGCAGAAGCAACCGTGAGTTTGGAATTAGGCAGTTTGGAATTTGACATTGACCACAGTTACAAAGCAATTCAGAAACAGATTTTAGAAGATGTGATCGAACAACAGTTTGTGAAAGAAGGGGTTGACTACAATAAGTCGGAAGTGCAGAAGATCGCAACGTTGTCAGCTTCCATGTGTTCAGTTGACATTATGGAGATTTTCTCCCCAACACGGCGCTTGCAGCTTACTACGGGTTGCTAGATCTCAGCGAGATGAAGCCCGATGGGAGTGACGTGTGGAACTTGGACAGAAAGAAAGATCGTTTGGAGTTGGAAGCACTCATTGAAAATGATGAACCGTGGCTCGTCACAAAAAGCCCTCCATGCGGTCCATTCTCACCACTCCGCAGTTTGACAAACCACGAGAGATCCAACAGTTGTTGAGGAAGAGGTTCGTGTTGGAAAGGAGAGATTGAGGACTGCAGTGAAGATGTACAAGAAACAATATGACGCTGGATGATATTTTCTCCATGAACGTCCTGAGCCGTCGTCTGCTTGGGACATGCCAGAGTTGAAAGCATTGGAGGAGCTTCCTGGTAGTCTTTCGAGTTTGTTCGACAATGTGCAGTTGGAAGATGGTCTTGAAAGGTCGAGAACAAGAAGTCTATGTGCGCAAACCAACAGTTTGGCTGTGGCAAAAATGTTGAACCAGGTTTGTGGAGAGACAACACCATGCGTGCGCCGACATGTTCGGCTCATTGGAGGTGTTGCCAAGCAGGCACAGGTGTACCCAGAGGCGATGATCAGTGACCTCTGTATAGGTCACGGTGGGTGGCAAGAGAGATCAAGAAGCGCAAGCAGCCAGGGGAACAACTATCGGAGGTCGAGTTGCTTGCAGCTACTCCACCAGTTGAAATTTCTATTTGCTTTGTTCAATGTTGTTGACGCAGTTCAAAGGCCGTGCAAAAGATCTAAAACTTGGTTCTTGGGATGTGAGCAGAGCTCATTTCATGGGCGTTGTTGAGCGTGATTTGTACATTGATCTGCCTCCTGAGGACTTGCATCATGACACAGCTACAGAACCAATGTGCGGCAAGTTGAACAGGAGCATGTATGGGACACAGGATGCTTCAAGAAATTTTCAGAAAGATTGGAATCAAGTTTTGGCAAATCATGATTTTGAGATTGGAGCACTTCGTCCTGCAACGGTCAAGCACAAGAGCAGAAACATGTGGGGCATGGTACACGGCGACGATTTCTTGGTTCTGGCAAATGACACAGGTTTACGATTCATGGATGAAGTGTTGAGATCAAAATGCAAAGTTCGTTGGGAAGCAACATTGGGGCAAGATCCAAAAGATGACAAACAGATGTTTTTCCTGAACAGGTTGGTGCAGCTTGTGAAAAGAGAGGACGGTGAATTTCAGATGGAGGTTGAAGCTGATGCAAGGCATTCCGAGTTGATCGTGCGGCAACTCAATTTGCTTGGCTCGAAGGGATCTGAAATCCCTGAGGTGAGGATCAATGACAATGAATTTGAACATTTACAAAAGCAATCGCTAAGCCCAGAAGAGGTGAAATTGTTCAGATCGTTGACAATGAGGACGGCCTATCTCTCTCAGGACCGTCCGGACTTGGCAAACACAGCAAAGAATTTAGCGCGTGGGATGTCGCAGCCCAAGCAGTTTCACCTTGACAAGTTGACAAGTTCAGTTCATTGGCTTTACGGACAGTGACTGGGCGTTTGATTTGGAACTAGACGGTCGACGACAGGTGTTGCAGTGATGGCTGGACAGCATCTTTTGTTGGCAAAGAGCCATTTGCAAAGTGTTGCTTCCTTGAGCTCAGCTGAAGCAGAGTACTATGGGATTTGCAAGGGTGCAGTGTCGTGTTTGTTTTTGAAGCATTTGTTGGATGAGTGGAAAGTTCCATGTGCATTGACAATGAAGTGTGATTCGACGGCAGCGAGAGCAATAGCGTGTCGTGTTGGAGTTGGCAAGACAAAGCATGTGCAGGCAAGATTTTTGCGGTTGCAATAACACACTAGAGATGGTGCGTTGGTGGTCGAGAAAATTGATGGCGCGAAGAATGGTGCTGATTTGACGACGAAAGTGTTGAGCAGACAGGTGATTGAGAGACACTTGAGACGGTTGAACTTGCCAGATTCGCAACGAGGAATTTGAAGCACAAGGAGCTCTTGGCGTCAGGTTGAAATAGTCCCGGCCAGGCTCCGCTACGTTCCTTTCATCCATACCTGGACTCAAGGTCGGGGGACGTGGAACCATAGCATGTTACCAATAGCTCACGTAGGCCCAAAGGAAAAAGGTGCGGTCGCGAGCGTATTGGGCCAACAAACCACACGTGCAGAGACCATAGTTTTTGGTGTCCAGCCCGCCGCCTAGACCGATTTCACCGCGGCCTGCCGACGCCTGCCGCTCATTGTGCTGGCCAAGCTGCTGTTGGTGTGCCTGGACCGTTTTGCTTGCCACGTGAAAGATACAGAGACCGGGAGCCTCTCCTCTACTTGCTTTCTGCAAGAATTGCTGATTCATCAGCATTTTTGACCAAATTAGGTGGAGATCCTATTTCGTAGTTGTGTTGTTTTTTGCTGCAAGCTTTGTTGGGCACTGTTTCAGAGGTGGCCCTGGCACACTACCCAACACCAACACCACGATTTGTGTTGAAGCACTGAGGTATCTTCAGTCGACGGATGATGCCATCGAGCTGGGCAAGTTCCTTCACATGCTTTCGGAGACTGTGCCGGAGAGCATCCAACATGGGTACAAACCATGGTTCGACCTGGTCCATTGTTTTGTAACAATACTTCTGTCAGTGTTTATGGCCTTCATGGTTCCCATGCTGAAGGGGGAAGGGCCATCACTTGATTCCCTTCAGCCTCTCATTTGGATTCTTGTTCCCTTGCACTGGACCTTTGCAGTGGGGTTTTGGATGCGGCAGCCATCCTTCGACTATTTTGCCATACGCGCGCGGGATGCCGATATTGAAAAGAACGGTGCTATGATTGACCTCCTTTACTGCAGACAGTGGTTGCGGGCGTATGATAGTGCCTACCCTGTGCAGCACGTGAGAAGGGCTTTTGACGAAGCATGCTCATACTTTTGCCAGCACAGGTCAGACTTGCTAGCTTACAAGTCTGACACGCAATGGGTTGCAAGATACTTTGGCGAGCTGACCAAGGTTTTCGGCATACTGTTTGGAGGCTATGCTGCCTTGCAGCACATTCACTACGGTGAAGGGCAGATGACTCTTGGTCGATTCACAGTGTTTCTGAGCTTATACAGCATCATCATCGACGTGATTTATATGTTCATAGACTCATGGGATGGACTTCTCTATGCTGGAGTCGTGATTGAGGAGTTGTGCCAATTTGCGAACACCTCCAATAGGCTTTTGTCACTGTCCCAGCCGGTGGATTTGATGAAGCATCCCGTAATAACAGGGAACTTTGTGATGAAGCTCTCTTCGGTCGATTTCTATTTGGAGGGCGCGGTCTCCACCCCATCCCCATCTTCCAAGACGTTTACACTGGGCGTGCCATTGGGCCATTGTTATGGCCTTCGCACTTACAGCGATGCCTCATCCCTGCGCCGACGCCTTTGCGAAGTCCTTGGAGGGATGCGTTCTTCCAGCATCGTCAGCGAACTGGGCTGTGCGAAGGCCTTGCTTCTCAAGGCGACGAAACATGTTTTCGTTTGTGTTATTTGTGAAGCAACTTCTTTCATAGCGTGCATATACTTCCTACATGCTAGTTGCCACCAACCTGCTGAAGGCTCCTGTGAGCCTCGCCACTGGAACGGTGTTGGAAAACTTACTCTCGAATGCTGCTGCTTGGGTGCGCGCGAGCGATGTGGTAGCTTTGCTGGCAGTGCTTGGGATCCCCATTCCTGCACCTGCGGGGGTCAAAGTAAAGCATCCTTCCAATCCTGGTGATTTGCTTCATTCCTTGCTCCGCGCGTCAAAATGGAAGCAATCCCTTCAAGCCTCGGCCAGGCACTTGGATTTGCATGTGGAGCGCTTCAGAGAACGCTGCTTCACCTCTGACTTCTCAGTTCTTTCACCCATCAGTTCAGCAGAGGAACTGCTGCAGCCAGCTGAAAAGCATTTGTTTGATTTGGCCAGGGGCTTGCTGGCGGACCCAGAAATTCTTATTGTTCATGACATGCTTAATGTGATGCCCCTTCCCTTGGCGGAGAACGCGCTTGAGGTCTTACTGCTCTGGCAAAATCTGGGCGGGTTCAAAGGACTTGTGATGGCCTTTGAAGGAGGGTTCCGTTCAGTCGACGGGTACCCTGCTTGGATCACTGCGGGTGGCATCTCCAGGAGCCTTTTCATCTCCGAGTCGACCATCGTTTGCGCGGGGCTTCGGATGACGAGTTACATAGCCTCCTGGCTCGTCATCCAGCCGGGAGGCGTCTTGGAACTGGAAAGCGCCGAGGAGGTCGCTGAAGTGCCCATCGGCCATGGAGACCGTGTTGGCGGCTTGAGCTTAGCAGGCTTGGCACGAATGAAGGGCCTTGCGAGGCCGAAGAGCTGGTCAGGGGATCAGGGCTAGATGTGGCAAAAAGACGCCGCCAGCTGCAAACTGTTGCAATGAAGTGACGTGGTAGTTAGACAAATCCACAACTTCTCTCGTCAACGTTCGTTTGGTGGACTGCGCAATGAAAATGGGTTCCTTTTGTTGTCTATCAATCATCGTCGGCTAAGGTGGAAGCTGCGACCTCGCCATTGTCGACGGGCTCTCCCCACAACCGTTCATCACCTCAGCTGTGGCCAGGCAGCAGTGTGGCAGCAGCAAAGAGATTTTGTGAACTATTGCACGATGACCGGCCACCCAAAGAAATGACGAACATTTTGATGCCCTGGCTGTTCTTCTTGTTCGGAGTATGGCAACCTACTCTTCATGACATCTGTGCCAAGTCAAACCTGTGAGTCTCTCAAATCACTTCTTAATCCTGAGGTTCACAGATGATTTCCCTCAGATTGCTTCGCTTCCTTTTTCCAGGTTTGAGTCCCCTTTAAATTGATTCCTCATGATTGTTTTTTGGATTTTACATGTCCTTTAGGCTTCCAATGCTGCCTTCCAAAAATGATTTCTTTCTGAATACAAAAATAGAGCTCCATCAGCAAGAGCGCGTTGACACTATTATTGTAAGAGGTGGTATAGACGTTATTGAATATTGTAAGTTGTAAGAGATGTGTTGCCAAGGATTTCTCGTTTACTGGATTCCTGCCTTTTTGCAGTCTATTTTCGGGTAGATTTCGCTTGCTATTTAGCAATTACTTAGCAGGCGTAGGACTTCCATATAATTTGCAGATAAATTTGCCGCATCTATCATGCAAGTAGGGAAGATCTGAGATGGACCGCTTTTGTAAAACGATGCAAAACGTGATTTTTGTGGGGAATGCGCGTGCCAGATGCTCAAACGTGAGGGCTTTGTAGGCTGGTCCATGTCAGGTGCTCAAACCCGATGTTTTTGCAGCAGAACCGCTGCGTATTGCCATTTTGAACGTCTATTCTGGAGGAAGTCTCGCAGAATCGCTGCGCTTTCACATCTTCAACTTTCATTTTTGACGGAAGTCTCCTGATTTCGACAATTTGAAGAAGTCTTGAATTGGAAACTTTCAGATGTCAAACTTTGAGGAAATGTCTCGCACGAAATGCACCGAACTGGCAACTTTGCATTGTACGGTGCAGCAAATGTAGTCGTGTCGCTGGTGAGCTGCGCGGTGGGTGGTGTCAATCACGCGTGTCATTCACACATGTATGCATGCATGCATGCTTGCATACTTACACCCATACACGAAAAACATCACACTATATATATATATATATAAGTGGAACATGACAATCATACCTCCATATCCATCGCAACATATTGTCACTTTCAAACCCAAGCCCGTGGACACTAAGTCTTTTTTTGTGTGGTGTGTATCAGGCGGGGTAGTGGGTAACTGGTAGAAAATCTCACACAATCCGACGAACACGAGAGAGAACAGTGCGGAACCACTGCGACCCAATGTATGCACTATTTGTCCACATTACGGCTATGGTATGAATAGCAGCGGTGGCCTTGCGGCCTTCCAAGATCATGATGTCAGTGATTTCATGATCACTCTCAGGGTGACGGCCACCGGCATGGAAGATTTACCTGACTTGACAGATCGCACCCTGACTGCATCGGGAATTCATTCATTGCCCCATGGAACCGTTGCACTTGGCCCTTTTGGGCTGGCCCAGGCATCATGTCAATGGGTCTTTACGAGGAGTACCAGCTGCTTTGGCGGGTGTTGTTGCAGTCGGAAGAGGGCTGCTGGATGAGGATTAGGTGAGGCGGTGGCGTTTGGTTCCGCAAACACTTACAGACCCACCCACACCGTGTTTTATGGAGGCATGAGGGTTGTAACACGGATTGCGTCGCTCTGAATCTGAGGAAGTTCCGTGAAGGAAATCTAATTTGGCGTGGTGGCGGGCACCATGGCGCGCGTGGAGAGCCCACTGCACAGGCCTTGGATCGCTCACCGGAGCGACAGCAAAGGCGGGAATTGTGGGGATGGCATGATCGGATGTAGACGTGGATGAGGTTAGGCATTTGACCCGAGAGCAAGGATTATTTTGTTGTGTCTGCAGCTGAACAACTTTGTTGGCAGGAGTTTCTTGAACACCTTCTATCCCTCTTTTGACACGTGGCACTGGCGGCGGACGGCCTCATACTGGAGCCTTATCCCCCAACCGGCAACAAAACACGGTGAGTTAGTGCAGTTGAGGTGAGATAAAACCTTTTCTCATGCGACAGCTCCATCCATTCACGCAGGTGGAATATTCCCAAACTTCCTGCCATGGAAGAAGGCCCAGTCTTCCTGTACTGAGGATTGCCATCTCCTTCTTGGAAGGCTCCCTCCTGTTTCTTTTTGGGAGCTGCTTTGGGTTTGCGGCAGACAGTTGCTTGACAGAAGGGGTAGCCATGGGGGGTGGAGTGGTGTAGATTGTAGAAACGCAGGTTCTGGTAAGGATAGTGATATGTAAACAATAGCAAATGCAAAATAGCTTCTGAAAACAATAGACAGACACACCAAGAAAAAAAAACATAAATTTAGACCAACAAGTGTCCAAAAACAAAAAAACATAAAAAAAACAAAAACAAAAAGTTCAGACCTATGTCTCCTGTCCAGCCTCTCCTGGGTCCC